TTGTCTTGGTGCAGCATGACTTGACATGAAACAACACAACAGAGTGGCAGTACATTCAGGCAGAAATTGCTGGCTTGGGCTCTTGACATCGGTTTAGGCCATGACTGGAAGGGGCAGAATCAGGTTTATTGGTTCTCTCAGTGACATAATTGCTGCAGGCTATATACCAAAAGGATAAACAAGACAACAAGGCAGGAAACTGCTACCAGATCATCAGCTGGTCCTGTTTTCCATCCCTTACCTAATTATGCCTTTCCCTTTCTTCTGCCTGCCTTTTCAAGAGAATTCCACAGCTGGTACTCCTGGCTACGTTTGAACACAGGGTTAATTCCTCGTCCTTGCACTCCTTTCCAAAAATGAGAGGCTTGCGTGTTGCATGGAGCTCCTGCTTTGTTAAAAGTTTCAGGTTCATTGTGAACACAGACACCTGTTATAGGTCAGCCAAGTGCTTTGTCTTTACTTTCCACGCTGTCTTCACAGCTCAATGTAGACCTTGGAGCTGCTGAGAAGTAGCGGGTATGTATGCGCTCCTACCGCTTCTGTACAGGTCACTGGAGTTACGTGGAGTTACTGTGTGCTGCACCAGGAGAACCCACGGCCATGCCATCAGGATTCAGGTCATCTATCGAACCTCTGATTTGATTGGTGATGGTGGCAGCTTGTTCTGTACTTCAGCTGAGAAGCCAGGAGGGTGGATTGTTCTCTGAGGTTAATGCCAGCAGCTCAGCTGTGTCCTCACAACGCAGAACCGGAGTTCCCATCCTTAAATGTAATTAATGATTCCCTCATAGGAGTATTCAACACTTGCTCAGATTACCTATTATTTAAGTAAGGGCCACAAACAGCTGACAGTAAATATTATTATAAGCAGCAGTAAAATGTAGATGTACATCAATATGGGTGTGATAGAGGGGACTGCCACTGGAGCAGGTCCAAAGGAGGGCAACAAGGCTTGTGAAGGGCTTGGAGAATATGCCCTACAAGGAGAGACTGAAGGAACTGGGACTGTTTAGTGTGGGGAAGAGGAGGCTGAGGGGAGACCTTTACTGCTCTCTTCCAATACCTGAAAGGTGCTTACAGTGAGAGCGGGGTTGGTCTCTTCTCACTGGTGACAGGTGACAGGACAAGAGGAAATGGCCTCAAGTTGCACCAGGGTAAGTTTAGGTTGGATATCAGGAAACACTTCTGTACAGAAAGGGTTGTGAAGCACTGGAATTGGCTCCCCAGGGAGGTGGGTGAGTCACCATCCCTGGATGTGTTTAAAATCTGTTTGGATGTGGTGCTCAGGGACATGATTTAGCAGAGGGTTGTTGGAGTCAGGGTAGTATGGTGAGGTTGGAACTGGAACGTGTTTTAGATAGCAGTCTTTCTTGATCCTTTCCATCATGAAGTTGGGCTGAAGCCTACACCTGCTCTATGTTTGGGAGTGTAACTTTTCCAATATCACACTGTACATGCACAGCAGGAACTTCCAGACAAGGTAGTGCAGTTCCTCTACCTGCTCTGAGTGAGGGCAAGCCACCCTTCTTGCTCCAGTTCACCCAGCACTCAGGAAGGGAAGGAAGCTCTGCAGTAAATCTGAATGTGAGAAGTCATGGTTTGCTGTAGTTAAGTAGGTTTGGGCATTTGAAATGTGAACGTGCAAAACCATGTAATCGGGTAAGGGATGAAGTTCAGATCTGGTATTTAATGAGAAAGGAATTCCTCTTCAACATTACCAAGTGTTATATTGGAAAGCAAAGCCCTAAGAAGATTACAGCTATTTCCTGCCTACAACCACAGGGCTTCTTTGTTCAGGACAATGAGCAACTGATGCTTTTAATGCTACTTGTTTTCAGATCTTCTGTCCTTTTTTTTTTTTTTTTTCAATCCAAATAATCTATTGCTCTTTTCCATTACGTTTTTCTCAGATAGCTGGGAAGATCCTTCTCAAGTTGTGACTAGTTAGGCTTTTTAAGGGTTCTCAGTAAGTTCTCAGTGCGCAAACACCAGCTGGATATTTGAACTAGATCAAACAGGAGAGGAGTGGAAATAGTGGTATGAGATGCTGATAAGAACTGAACTGTGCCTGATGAGCTGTGGAAGTTCGATAATGTCTTTCTTTGCCCTGGGCATTCTGTGTATTCCCTAATATAAACAATAAAGATGTTTGTGTTTGCAACCTAATATCGCTTTTCTGTTGCAAGATATCATAGGTGTTTAAACCAAGTTCAGTGTTTGCAAAGAAACTGAATTTTGTTCATCCATTGACCTCCTGTTTTCCCTAAGCAAGAATGGGATCACTAAGTGAAAGCTGTTATTCCCACCAGGCTAACCCACACACATAGGACCCACTGACTTCTGCAGCACACTCACAGTACCAGAAGCCGTGTAAAGCCGTGCAAAGAGGTTCTTCAGTTTTGTTTGTTTTTCATAAACAAAATTCACATTCAGATTTGTGCAGTGCTTAGAAATGTAACTTTTTTTAAATCCACTGTTTAGGTGTTCTGAACCATCTGATTAATGAAATAAGCCTGTCAAATTCACATCTATTAAAAATATTAAAACCAAGCCTCCTTCTCTTCTTATGGGACAAGAAAATGTATTTAAATGCTACATGATTATGTCTACTCTGAGCAATGGAAGCATAGTAAGCTGGCATCTTACCAGTTGCAGCCACAACATTACAAAGTAGTTTTTAAATTGGTGCTCAGATCTAAAGATGCTTACAGTGCTGCAGCTGCATTAAAGAGGAACTATCCACTTTCCCTCATTGTTTTTTTTACCCTCATTGGTTTAAAGCCATCAAATGCAGAATTACCATCTCACAGGTAGATAAAAGCCTGCAGACATTCAAAAGTCGGTCTTGGGAATTACTCTGTGGGACCTCTCACTGCTTCAGCATTCACCATTTCAAAGCATCATTAGAAGAGGAAGAAGTTGTATTAACCAAATGCTTACCTCAAAATTATTCTGTTCATAACATCACAGGAGACTTATCTCCTATTTAAGCATATTCCACGCAATAGAATCATAGAATCACTGAAGTTGGAAAAGACATCTGAAATCACCTAGTCCAACCATCAAACCACCACCACCGCCATGCCTGCTAACCGTGTCCCTCACTGCCACATGCTCACAGTTCTTGAACACCTCTGGGGATGTGAGTCTGTAGAGAGTAATAAGGTCTCCCCTGAGCCTCGTCTTCTCCAGGCTGACAATCCCAGTTCCCCCAGCTGCTCCCCATCAGACTTGTGCTCCAGACCCCTCGCAGCTTCATTGCCCTTCTCTGGACACACTGCAGGGCTTCAATGCCTTTCTTGTAGTGAGGGGCCCAAAACTGAATGTAGCACCCAAGGTGCATCATCACCAAGGCCAAGTATAAAGATGATCACCTCTCTGCTCCTGCTGGCTGCATTATTTCTGATACAAGCCAGGATGCCCTAGGCCACCTGGGCACACTGCTGGTTTTTATTCAGAAGGCTGTCAACTAACACTTCCCAGACCCTTTTCCTCTGCACTGTTTTTTAGCCACCTGCTGTGCTTCCACAGCAAGCCACCTGTAAGTCAGTTATAAAATTATCTGAGTTTGCTCGGTTTTAAAACTGCTTTCTAGGAGTTTCCTTCAAGGTTACCATGACCAGCCTACAGGGAACACATTAACCTAGAGCAGGGAGCCAAGAGCAGCAAGAGGTTTATTCTCCATGGAAGTATTAAGACAAATACACATAAAATCTTGTCAGAAGATAAAGGTTAGCTCCTTTTCAACCCAGGAACAAAATGTGAGTAAAATCAGCTTGATGCTTCCAGTGTGAATGTAGCAGCTTTGATTGTAAGTTCTCAGAAGAGTCCACCTGCATAAATATTCTGGTAAGGATTTACCAAGAATCGCTGCAAGCTATGGCTCCAATTTACAATTTATGGTGGAAAATGAAATTCATACTACACTCCTCAGGAGTATAACAGTGACTCGATCAGAAAGAAGCAACCCAAGGCATGACAGGTAGGTGAGAACACCTCTCTTCATGAATTTGATGTTGTACAAACATTTATCTGGCTATCTGATACGGCGGCATTAAGGCAGCACTTGGAGGAGTTCTGGGGCTTGAGTCACGTGGAGCATGGAAGTTGCTCAGTGCAAAAGGATGAATGAACCCCAGAGTGCTGTTTTGGAACTAGAATGGTACAACTGAAGTCTGAACAGGAAGCTAATAAGCTTTAAAGCTGATTAACATGGAGTTTTTTTGTGCTTCTTGTTGCTGTTGTGTAATAAACAATCGTATAACATGTGCTTCTGCTAAGGCAAAGCGACAAAGTTTCCAGAAGGAAATGGTGGCAGACTGTTCTCTGCACCCACAGGGAGAAATAAAAAGACTTAAAGCAAGAAATGATTCTAACTGATGGCAGAGAGCACTTTTATCAGCAGGCATCCTGGCTGCTGGGGGCATTCCTGACTTCTGAGAAAACAGGGCAAAAATTACTGAGTTAATGATGTGCTTTTTGCTCTCACTTTCATTTATAGTACAGCTCTGGTAAACTGTACTCAAATCGTGGTAAAGACAAAATGACCAGAATTTTTAAATGGTGTGAACTTATTACAGAGTATTCCGGAACAAACTCCATTTGGAAGCCTGCTCCAGAACCACACTTCCAGCTGCCAGGCTAAAGTGATTCACTCCTCACGTACAAATCCCTGTTCTGCTGCCAAAGCTGTCCATGGCATGACTACCTCTCCGCCTCTCTGCTATTCATTCTGCTGCACGCTGCTGTCCTCCTTCCATCTTTCCTTTCAGGCTAAACGGAATGAACAGCTCTGTCTTCTCCAAGGTAGAGGGCTTCTACTGCACTTGATATTTCTCTGTATCTACTAAAAGTCTGAATTAATTCACCCTGAGCATGGGTAATTAAGACACTGCCATCATACATGTGCCTTTTTCATGAGAACACAGAGGTTTGAGAGCATTCACTGAAGGTAAGACCAATGCAGATGTTTTCTGGTGTAAAATAAAGACACGTAAACATACAAAAACCACTTTTACTAGCACATGCTAACAGTTTTTTTGCAAAGATTTGGCCAACTGAGAGTAGTAACAGTAAAAACCAAACACGTGCATTGCTTACATGGAAGTCATTCCCCCAGCCCAAACTTCTCCCACAGCGCCACAGTGACACAATGACCTCACAGAGCCATCTCTGAGAGCAGTTGGATGTGCGTGCGACACCACCACATCCCAACCCTGGTTTTAAAGAAGATGCACTCCACTGAATTAAGTTCCCCAAAGAGAATCAAACCTCGAGCCCAACAGGAAAAGACTCAGCCTAAATACAGTTAAAGTTTGTCAAAGTTAGACAGTTAGAAACAGGGAGAAAAACTTGGCGGCATCGGGGAAAGCCCTGATTGCTGTTCACTAACACCAAGAAACAGCGTGCAGGTCATCAGCAGGGCACAACAGCTTGGTGATGGAAGCCACACTTGCCTGGTGCCAAAGACAGCATCACTGGCAGGCAGTACCTCAAGTCCCATGCTTGCAGAAACCACCACTTCAATGCCTTTGGGTCTACAGAGCTCTGTTCCTCACCAAAATGTTATCCAATTGCATGACTGTAATAAACCCAGGAGTTCTGCACTGGTTTTCATAATCTGGCTTACTGAAAGCTGCAGTAGTGATGTGTGAAGAGAATTTCATGTAGAAACTCAGAACTTTTCACCATATTCAGTGAGCGGGGACAGCACCAAGCAGAGCAATGCAACACCACAGCTCTTCCATAAGTGACTTTGCCACCATTCTCCACGACCGCTCCAGCATTCCTCGGTGGATTCTGCATCAGCGAGAGCTTTGTGCAGGCAAATAGAAACCGAAGAAATAAACACCTCAGTGCAACGAAAACATTTCCATGATATCTAAAGTATGTGAGCACACAGCGTGGGGATCTGCAAGTGAAGTGTCAGCACGTGTAAGTAACACAAGGAGCTGTGTGTTTCTTCACTCTGCGCTTTCACTGCTTCTCACAAGCGTGTCACTGCAGTTGTTGCCCAGCAGTTTAAGTACAGATATAAGATGGGAACAGAACAATTAGCAATTCCAGCATGGAAATACCTCGCTTAGAGCAAAGCACTTTACATACGATTAGAAGACTCAAGTTTCTACCTCCCTTAAGGCAAATGCACCATGATCAAAAAATAAACCAGTAAAAAGTAAAAAGTAAAACCAGATGACAGAAATAATGGTGTAAGCATTTGTCGGTTTTGTTCCCAGTTCCAACTACGACTTAACAGATTAAACCTGTTAATTCATTACATGGAACGTGACACAAGCATAGACTGTTCCCAAATCTCAGTCTAAACTACTAAAGCTCTGCAGCCCAGCACCAACTGATTCCCAGCCTGCCAAGTTCAGCTCAGCTGCAGCATGCTTACCGGTCCCCTGCGTTCTAGAAGATGCCCAGCACAGCAGCAGAGCTCATTAACCACGCCACAGAAGAGCAGCCACTGCCAAAATGCAGCTTAACCCTGGCTGTCCTGCACCCAACACCCAGCAGGCTGGGTGCCCTTCCAGAGAGCTCTTCCCACAAAGCTCCAGCACCCACCCCCAACCCCACACATTTCTTCTGTCCTTTCAGGCACAGACCGATGCTGTTGTTTGACACTGCAATGTTTTTCCTACAAGGTTCAGGTTACCAGGCCAACAAGGACGTGCTGTAAACATCCATCACAATGCTTTAGGAGCAAAGTAGGTGGTGAGCCTCAGCTGTTCTCCTGGGATGGTGGCACTGCAGCAGGTCCTGCCCGGGCTGAAGTGCTGCAGTCACAACATCTGCCATTGAGCAATTGCTGTCTAACCCTTGGTGCTCTTGCACATCCTGCACTCTCACTGCTACTTCTTCATTTTTCAGTTTTGTTTGTTCCCCGCTGATCTTTTTACAGGGCCTTCTAATAAACTCTCATGCCCTGAACACAAAACAGAAATTGCACTTGCTGTATTTTTATACACTTTGCAGAACAGATCCCTTCTCATGGTACACACACACACACAAAAAGACAAGAACTAGATCGGGTCTTAGGAGAACAGCTTGGGGTGAGAAAAAAACTGAATGAACCACTAACAAAGAGAACAGGAAACTTCTGTGGAGAAAAAATAAATCTTGATACAGAAAACACATCTGTCTAGTGTGGGAACTGTTTCAGAAAACAGACTAGTTTACAATTAGTGGATTTTATCAGCAATAAGCATGAATTTTGGTTGGACAACAACACTTCTCACAACAAACCAGTAAAAGTGAACCTGAGGTTGTGTTTCCCACAGCTCCTTGTGTCACACCACTGCATCCTGAGCTGGCACGATGAGGTTCTCTGCCAAGTGAAGTGAGTGCTTAACAGCTGCACCGTACAGTTCCTAGGCTGCAACTTGCTGAACGCAGACCAGCACAAATAGCATGCTCCTGATTGCATCTGTGTCAATGCTAATGGCACTGCTCTTGGGTGGGAAGGCCAAGGAAGAAAAAGAGCTACAGTAAATTACAGTTGGCCCTAACACACTGACATGTTTTACAGCGCAACACCCAAAGCATGAAAAACTACAATGCAATGCAAACGTGTCTTGTAAGATAACGTGATTTCTGCCTTTGTTTCCAGCACTCTATATAAACACAGCTTTGTTCTGAGCCTGGATTATCCTCCATCTGAAGCTCATGTTCTCACTTTGTGCTCGAGGATTCTATGTCAGCATCTCCACAGCCTTATGTACTCCCAAGGTACCATTTAGCTGCTGTCAGATCAGAACAGACGCAAGAGCAGTTCCTAAAAAGTTACAGTGAGTGCCCACAAATCTTCAACCTTCTGTCCCCAATTAAGCAATGGAAAAAAAGAGACTTGCATGCACACACATGCACACCCTCCTCATACGAACCCCAGAACATCTACAGGAAAACAACATCTGGAAACCCAAAATGAAACTTAAGGATGTGTTGCTTTTTTTTTTTTTTTTTTTTTTTTAATAAATACAGACTTTTAGTTGGGGACTTCTTTTGCCAGGATGGATTGCTCAGCCTTGTGTGGCAGCGTTTGCTCTGTCCACATGCAAGAGCTACAGCTGAGAGGATGTTATCGCTGGGAGGGGATGTGAGCATGGGAGCTCTGTGCAGCTCATTGTCTCAGCCAGGAAGCTGGGATAGAAAGGCATTCTCTCAGCTGATTGAGAAAACAAAATGGAAATGTCAAGCATTCACCTCCCAGATAATGTCACTTCTAAAGGAATCTGCAAAAAGCACGTTCGCCACTGGTATCACACCTATCAGTTTCTTAGAACACTTCTCTTTAAAAAAGGATTACAGTCTAGTTTAGAAAAGTGCAGACTTTCTGGAACAGATGTCCTCAAGACACAGAAGCAGACAAATGCTCATGTTGCTCCTCCCAGTGCTCGGAGGGCACAGCTGCAGGTGGGAGCTGAGGGAGGTACGGGCAGTGCCTGTAGGGTAATCAGACCATAGGCAGAGCGGCTCCTGCCAGGCATGGGCAGCCAAATCCCACAGGGAGTTCCACAAATACTTTCTTCACGTGTTGTAACAGTGTGTAACCAGATGTGTTTTATGCTCTGGAAAGGGCGATGCTCTTGCATGAGTTTTCTGAGTGTTTGCTCAAAGTCTTTATCAATTTAATACAAGTTTTAAGAACTTACAACTCTTGGCACGTCAGTTTCATGTCCAGTAGGCCTTGGAGCTCGAAGCCGTCCAGTGAGGACCTCTCCTACCAAACACCTCAGAACTCTCAGAAGCGCATCCCTGCTGCCCCCTCAAAGCTTGGCGGCCGTCCCCAACGCTCCTTCAGAGCAGACGCTCAGATCTTGCCGCCCGACGGCCACGCCACACACGGCCTCCTCGCCCCTCGCTGGCTGCCGGAGGATCTCCATCCATCCTCTACCGCCGCTCCCCGGCGCTGAGCGGGTACGCGAGCAGGCTCATGGCCTCGCCGCACGCCGCCTCCACCTGCCGCACCTGCTGGCGGCTGAGGCGCTCCCTCCAGGCGTGCACGGCCTCCCGCGCGTCGCGGGCGGAGATGAGGAAGGGCCGCTCGGAGGAGTAGGCAGCGCCGCGGGTCATGTTGACCACGAAGGCCTCCATGGCGGGAGGCACGGGCAGGCCGGCGAAGCGCAGCAGGCGGCGCAGCTGCGCGCGGGGTTCCCGCACCAGGTCTTCGTAGCGCAGCTGCGTGTAGCGGCGGCGCAGCGCGGCGGGGTTGCGGCGGGCCAGCAGCAGGTCGCGGAGCCACGCCTGGCAGATCACCTCCAGCGCTCCGCCGAGGAAGAACTCGGCGCGGTGCTGCGCGGGTGCCCGCCCGGCGCCCAGCAGCCCCAGGCCGGGCGGGAGCGGAGGCTGCTGCGGGCGGGGCGGCCCGCGGGGCTCGGAGCGGTGCCGGCTGCGCAGCACCTGGATGCTCTCGCGGAGCAGCGCTTGCTTGGCCTTCAGGCGCGAGTTGTGGACGGCGCGCGGGTCGCGGAAAAGCTGCACCACGCGCAGGTTGAGGCCGGGCTCCCGCAGCAGCGGCAGCAGCGCGCCCAGCTCCAGCAGCCGCACGTCCTTGATGACCACCACCGGGTACTTGCGGCACTCGGCCTCCAGCTCGCGCAGCGCCCGCGGCGGGCAGCGCTGCTCGCAGGCAGCGCCGTCCACCAGGCCGATCTCGCGGCGCGGCCGCGGCGCGGCGGGGCAGAGCGGCGCCGAGCAGATCACCTTGTTGGTCCGCCAGCCGAAGATGCCGGCCGTGGTCAGGTTGGCGGCGGGCGGCGCGGCGCCCAGCGGGTCGCGAGGGGCGGGGGGGGCGGCGTAGAGGCGCAGCACGGAGAAGTCGCAGCGGAAGAGAGCGCGCAGCATGTCGCGCAGGGCGCCCTGCAGACTGAGCGCGTCGCCGGGGTACAGCGCCTGCCACAGGTGCCACATGGGCTCGTAGAGGTAGAAGACGTCGGGGTGCTGGTTGAACAGCTCCCCCAGGAAGGACGAGCCCGTGCGCCAGGTGGCGTGCAGGTAGATGTGCCGCTTGCCCGCCCCGCTGCCGTTCCCCGCCGCCGCCGCCTCCTCGTCGTCGTCGTCTTCGTCGCCGGGCGGCGGCGGGCGCTGCTCCCAGCCCCACTCGCTCAGCGCCTCCTCCAGGCTGGGGCAGCGCCGCAGCAGCGGCTCCTCGTCCGCCCGCGCCCGCCGGGCTCCGTAGTCCAGCACGTAGGGCACCAGCAGCAGCAGCAGCAGCGTGTAGAGCGCCAGCAGCAGCGCCAAGCGGCGGTGCTCCCCCCGCCAGCACCACCGCCGACGGCCCTTCATGGCGGGGGGGAGCGGCCCGAGAGCGAGCGGCTACCGCCGCGCCGGCTCTCGGCGAAGGAGGCGAACGCTCGGCGGCGGGGGTGTGGGCTCGGGGCGGCCCTCCCGCCGGGAGCACGCCCACGGGCACGCCGGCCACGGCCGCCGCCTCACGGCGCCGCGCGGAACCGCCGCACCTGCCCCCGCCGACCCGCCTGAGGCTCTGCCCCGACCTCGGGACTGTGCCGAGCCGCGGGGTGCCTCCTCGCCGCCTCCTCGCCGCCTCTTCGCTGCCCCAACGTTCGTCCGGCGGGAGGAGCGCTGCGGCGCTCTCCTCAGCACGGGGGGAGTGTCGGCAGGAGCTGAGGAGGCGGGCTGGGTTCTGCGGGCTCTGTTAGCTGTCCAGAGAGAGCGCGCCGCAGCGATGGGAAGAGTGCGAATGCCTATTTAGAGGCGGGACAGGGTGAGAGGCGGCTTTTCCAGTCTGCTGTGGGTCTCAGAAGTTTCAGCCGCGTTTTTGTTTCGGTGCTCGCGGCGGCTGAGCGCGGACGTCTGTGCCTGAAGTGGGCACCGCCGCGGCACGTCCGGACCTCCTGGTGTCCCCTCGTACCCATGTCTGGTTAACTACCCGGGGACACGGTGCTACCTCCTCAGGCTTAGGATGTCACCTCTTTTAGGCTGCTAAGAACAGATTAAATACATCTCTTCATTCGAGATGGAAGTCAATGAGATGTTGACTTCGTGGGAACCTGCTGCATGCAGCTGGGGGTCAGAGCAGATGATCTGCAGAGGTCCTTTCCAACCCCTGCAGTTCTGTGATTCAAGTGCTTTAATTCCAACACTCGGCATCAAAATGTGCAGCACACCTGCAGGTGCTCACAGGTGGATCCCAATCCCGTGTTCCTGGTTAAGGTGAGCATCTGGCAGGAAAGTAACATCCCTGTCCTGCCAACTGCGTGGCAGTGGATGGTGTCCCAGAAAAAGAACAAGATTTAAGCAAGGCACACAGTGAAATTCAGCCACAATAACACAGCTCTCACATACATGATGTTTTCACCTCCAGAGCAGTCTCTGCATTGTGTGTTCACCTGTGGTGAGGCACACGGCATAGCATTAATCACCAACGTCACACATAGCTGTGTGGAAATGACACCTTACCTATAGATATTCACAGAATCACAGAATCACAGAATCACAGAATCACCCGGGTTGGAAGGGACCTCAAGGATCATGTAGTTCCAACCCCCCTGCCTAGCAGGGCCACCAAACGTACACATTCAGATCAGGTTGCCCAGGACCCCGTCCAACCTGGCCTTGAACACGTCCAAGGACGGGGCATCCACAACCTCCCTGGGCAGCCCATTCCAGGGCCTAACCACTCTCCCTGTAAAGAACTTCCCCCTAACATCCAACCTAAATCTTCCTTCCCTCAACTTGGATCCATTTCCCCTAGTCCTGCTGTTGTCAGCCCTTTTGAAGAGTTTACTCCCCTCCTGGGTGTAGGTTCCCTTCAGGTATTGATAGGCTGCAATGAGGTCACCCCGCAGCCTTATCTTCTCCAGGCTGAAATGTTCTAAGAATGTTCTAAGAATGCTCTGTGTACAGTGAAAGTGTATAGATACAGAGCTTATAACTGCTGTGCATTTGTCTGCCTGCATGTGTAGGTATAATATATGTATTTGAGAATCACAGAATCATAGTTGAAAGGACCTGGGTTGAAAAGGACCACAATGATCATCTAGTTTAACCCCTCTGCTATGTACAGGGTCGCCAACCACCAGACCAGGCTGCCCAGAGCCACATCCAGCCTGGCCTTGAATGCCTCCAGGCATGGGGCATCCACAGCCTCCTTGGGCAACCTGTTCCAGTGCCTCCAGAGGTCACCACCCTCTCTGTGAAAAACTTCCTCCTAATATCTAACCTAAACCTCCCATGTCTTAGTTTAAAACCATTCCCCTTGTCCTATCACTATCCATACTTGTAAACAGCCATTCCCACTCCTTTCAAGTGCTGGAAGGCCACAGTGAGGTCTCCTCAAAGCCTTATCTTCTCCAAGCTAAACAAACCCAGTTCCCTCAACCTTTCTTCATAGGAGAGGTGCTTCAGCTTTCTGATCATCTTGGTGGCCTTCCTTATTTCAGATTTATTGGGTTACATAAGAGGGATACAAAGTGATGCGGAAGAAAAGTCGTCTGTCTGCCCTACCCAGGTGGGGAGCCAGCCACCTGCCTGCTAACACTCTCCTCTGCTAAGTAAGTGTTAAAGACTTGGCTTCCCACAGTTTATAGTGTGCTGAGTGAGGAGATGGAGCCAAACAAGACTCCTGGGTTCCAGAGCAGAATAATGTACAAAAATCTGAAAGGAAATTCTGCCCCAACATATATTTCCCTATTTAGGTTCACTGTGGCTTTGGGCTTTTTAAACAGCAAGCTAAATCAGTCTAAGCATCATCTCCTGCTGTGTTACAGCCAGAATTTCATTTAGAATTTCTTAAGTACAGGAGGATGACAGAATAAAAGCACTTTTGTCAATACTAGGCCATGGACTTGCTGAAAAACCTTGACCTACGCAAAGAATGTGCTCATCTAGTATTTCAAGGAGCTCTAGCACATTTGACTTGTGTGGCATGGTAATAATTTTGGAGGATTTATGAAATTACCAAGATGCAGATGAAAATGGAAAAATGTAGCTACTGAAGTTGCCCTTTGTAGGACATGTAGGAGTAAGATGGCCTGCCAGATCTATGAAAGACCATAGAAATAAAAATACACATGCATTGCACTGAACTTTCAGACAATGGACTACAAACGTCTGTGACAACTGTTCTGGAAAACAGAAGGCACAAATCACTTTACCACAGACTACGTTTTCACTAATATAAAAACATAGGAAGTTCTTGAAAGACTATCAAACCAAAAAAAGAATCACAATGAATGCTTTGTCCTGTGCCTTCATAGAGGGGTTCCTGTGTTGAAGCAGGATCATCCTGAAAATGGTCACTTCAGTTCTTTTAGGTTTGAGCCTTTTTGGAGTGGAGAGAGAGCAGGAATCCCACCACAATTAGCATCATAGAGTATTGTTGGAAGGGATACTTAAGGATCATCAAGTCCAACTCCTTTCCCCACACAAGGCCACCCAAAAATCAGACTATCTGTCTGAGCACTGCCCAGATGCTTCTTGAACTCCAGCTTGGCGCAGTGACCACTGCCCCAGAAAGACTGTTCCAGTACCTGACCACTCTCTGGTGAAGAAACTTAGGATTCTAAAAGAGCTTGAGAACCTCAGAGAGCTGGGAGGAGGTCAGCCCAGGCTTGTCTTGGCTTTCAGTTTGACTTGAATTTGTTCTGTCTTCAACACTAATAGTGGTGATAAGGGGGATGATCTTCCCCAATAACCTTTTTTTTCCTATGATTCATACAGACACTATTTAAATAGATGATCTTCATTTCCTTCCAAGAGCGTGATAACTCAGTGTGTGAGAAAGGCAGACAGATTCTTTGTTCATACATGAAGCAGCTTGGCTGGCATCTGACTTCTGCCACTTCTTGGTGATAATTCTTTGCTTCATGCTATTTTACAAAGAAAAAGAGGGACAGAGTAGATGTGTTCTGCCTAGTTTAGTGTAGCAGTATTTCCATTCTGGTTTCCAAGTTTGTCACTGAAAGCGCTGTCTGTTTTTAACCTGATGTAGCATTGGCTTCCTGTGTATTATCTCTCTAACTTGATTTTTGCTCTTCCGTCTCCCACAGCTCTTCAACTGACAAGAAAGCCTGTAAATGTTGGAACACAGCACTTCAGCCCCAGAATCATTTTTATCTTCTCAGCAGAGGTTTTAAAATAGAACTAGTTGCCTCTGTATCTGTTCATTTTTTGGATCATGCATGCTCTTGTCATTTTGAAAGAGCACTTTGTGATTAAAAATAGCTTGATTATCTGATAAAATTAAATGTGCTTTGCAAGAGGAGCATTGGCCTCACACATCCTGGCTGCTAATGAGCACTATGCTTGCAAACATTGTCACTTACAGACTTTAGCCAAAAGGAAGCCCGTAGTTAATGACAGCTTTCAAAGCTTAAGGAAGCCAACAAGCTAGGACAATGTTTTTGTGTAACTTCTTTTTACTTTTTTGAAGGTTCTTTGTCATCAGGAGTTTCAACATGTGAGGCACTACATGCTTTGCATACAAGACCAGTCCTAATGGGTCATGGTTAGGAAGGAGTGCAATGAGAGTAGCAGGATGCCTGGTGGCATGAGAGCCAGGTGGATCAGCACGGGGGTTTGCTGCAGTGGAATTTCCCTGAAGCAGAATAGAGGCAGAGTCTGCAGGAGGCCTGAAATACTGCAGGGTGTTGGGGAGACTAGGTGGAGAACTAGAGGAGATGCTGAAAGTGGAAAGTGAGAGAAAAGGAGTAGCAGAAAGGTGAAGAGACTGTAGCAAAGGGCTACGGTACTGGCTGAGAACTGGTAGAGTCATAAAGAAAGTTTTAAAAAAGAAAATAATTATTCATTTTCTGACATCAGTGATCTTGTGAGCTCCTCTTCCTGTAAGAAAGGAAGGAAGATTATGTCCTCACTGAAAGTGATGGAAGATGCTATTAGAAAACAGAACAAGAAAATGCAGGAGGTGGAAGGCAAAGCAAAGCAAGATGTGTATTGGTGGAGGTTCAACAGGAAGGTCAAAGGAGAAATCTGTTATTTCTTACAGTAGAAATTCAGGAAAACCAGTTAAGTAGAAATGAAAAAAGAATGAGCACGTATTCTGTGCTCAAACTCAATGCTAATACAGCTTGAGTATTTCCATGAATGAGTCTAATTTGAGGTACTTAAGGTTCTTCATAGCAGAGCATGATGCCCTATTATCCCATTAACAGCAACAGAGTAACCTTGCAGCCCAGCATCTGCTGCATGCATAGCCAGCAGCTCCTGAAAGCCTCTCCGTGCCCCACAGTTTGCAGTATCTGCTCAACAAGAGTTATTCTAGCAGGAACATGTTTAGGGTCTCACCTCAGCACTAACATGGATTTGATACCATGACTGATAATGGCAGAAACCACAAATCTTTTTCTGTTTTCTCTCAATGTTGCAGACATGCTGTTGCTGAATTAGAGATGCTGATGAAGAATAACAGCAAGCTTTTGCAA